ACGTCGTCTGGCGTAGCGGTTCGGCGTCGGCGTGTGGGATTTCGATTGTTTCGGCGGAGTCGAATTTTGAGGGTTTTCGCTTGAATGAGTTGTGCTTATCTTATCTGGGGATAACTTCGCTGCTGAGTCAGCTATGCACTTTTACTCGGGCACAACATGGAATCCCTGCATGTTAATGTAACTAGTATACTAGTATAGGAGATCACTTCGATTAACATGCGTTCCTTAATTGTTCCATGGAACAAGCTTATATTTAACTCTCCACCCCTACAGCATATTTTTATGTAAACAAATCCATTCATTCATCGCCAGGATGCTAATCGGGTATTCGCTGGGGCGAGATGGTAAATATTACATGATTCATCTAAAACTCATTGTAACAGTTTTTGAGCAAGTCTCAAGAGCAAAAACAGGACTGCGAATACGACACAAAGAAGAAAATCAATAAAGGCACATGAGCAGAAACTTCAGTAGCCCGAGCCGTAGGGGTCCCAATTTCTCAAAACAGTATGCTATACGAGTACAAGACCCTGCTCGGCAGCGTCAAGAACAGCACAGTCGATTCATAATCGTGGCGCATTCAGCCCAGAGATGGTTTTTTTTTAGCCGTCTCTTTTTCCATTCCATGTCAGTCACCTGCAGGAGAATCGATTAGCATGAAAACAACATGCGGCTCTTTTCGAGCTCAGTGCACCAATGTTGAAGACAACACATACAATAGCTGCATGACAGGCGAAAGGCGTACCTTAGCTTCATAGATCACATTTCAGACCAGTCTTAGACGATCATCTGCGCAAGACCTTGGCCGCCCAAAGTCTTGCTGCCGACGAATTCCTGGCTCTTGAGACCCGCCAGCGCATAGAACAAACCGGCGATGAGTAGGAAAACGGCAGCCGCAATCAAACTGGTAGCGGACTTGATAAGACTAAGCCATTGCACAACACTCATCACTGTATACATTGCAGCGCGCATCCAGTTTGTGGTAAAGCGTCGGATAAATGCATCGAATTTTGGTGATGTGGGGCATATTCTAAGGAGGAAGGGCACTTCGGCGAAGATGAGGATCAAACCAGAGATGCTGTGTATTGTAAGCTTCTGAACTAGTGTAAGAATAGAAAAGAAGGAGCTCACAGGCACAGAACACTAAAGATGATGATCACGACGTCGAACGAGAAGATGTTGGCGATACCGAGAGCCAAGCACAAGACGATGCAGATCACGCCCGTCCTACGTCAGACATCGATTAGCAAAACTGCCTTTGAACGCCGTTTCTCTAGCTCCGACACTGTCGCAGTCGTCCAAATCCTATGCGCGAACATTCGGAGTGTATGTTTGTCCAAGGCGGCAACTGAAGCAGGTCCTTTTAAGACAGCGCCAAGCGCTGTGCTCAAGAGATTCAGGCAACCGTCATTCGTTTTCGCAAATGTTGTAAAGGCGCACAGTTGGGCAGCGGCGGGCGAGAAAGAAAATAGAGAAAAGCGTTACAAACCATTGTCCATAGATACCTATGTGATCAGTTGTTAGTTATCCCTTGCTTCGTATGTCAAAGAATAAGTCATTGTAAACAAGGCAGGTCCGTACTGAAGTTTCTCGAGCGGAGCTCCTCGGCGAGAGTCATGGTGCCGAACGAAGATGTGGAATATTTGATGGTGCAGAGAACGGTTCAAGTCAGGGTGTATAGAGCAACGATAGTGCGATGCTGACGGTAGCCTTATATAGAGGTGGTGGGAAGTAAGTTCGGTTGATCGTGTGGCTACTACTTAAGATTACCAGCCGGGAGTAGACGCGATTGACGGTTTGAATGGGGCCAGTTTGTCTGTCCGGGCCGATCCCTTCACCGCGCGGCAGAATGGCCTCTTCCGCCTTTGAGGTCGGGGATCCCGCATTATTATGTTGCCAGCAACGTTCCCCGGTTCCTAGATAAAGAGCTCGCCAATCTGCAACAGAAGGCTTTCCACCGCGGGAACTGAGTACAAGCCTCAAAAATTTTTGACTAGGTTGACCATCAAGAATTGTTGCTTTCTCCACTGCTACAGCTATGGAGGCTTCGCCAACCAAACACTCCCGCAATGTCTCTAGATGTAAGGAGCATTAATGTTCGATGCTTGTTGTATCATCGGCAATCTAGAGAATATAAGGCTGATTCGTCCTAGCTTCACGGCCGCGTAGCACAACGAAGGGTCCTCTAGATCAGCCAGATGAGTGAGCAGCGAATCTGCTTGATTAGTTAGGCCCATACTAACAATTACAGCCCGCTCGGCTCCGAAACAGTGAACACAGCCGCATCCCCAGGGCCGGCTACAGCAGACTTTGCTGGATTTACAGGCGCTTCGTTTAGCAGACTGGATCCATTGGGACCAGATGAACTGCCACCAACAGTGGAGAAGGATCTCTCGTACCTGCTCCGGTATGATGTGTATCATTCGCTGTCTCAGGTAGAAATACCGCACGCGCTTCGCTCTGAGTTCCTTGCCCCAACGTCAGACGAATCGCTGTCCACAAGCCTAGCCACCCTTGAGCGGCTTCTGGCTGAAGGTCACTTTCTGCTCGCTGCTTATTTGTGTGGGACGATCTTAACATCCTCGTTGATCTCGCCTACTGACATCAAACGAATCTTTGCTCTGTTTTACACTCGGCTAGCGTGCCTGCAACTGTCAGGAAATACGATCATTGCAGCGCAAGAGTCAAAGGCACTCGAAGACCTGAGCTCCGCCTTCTATTATGTGGAACCGATTGCCGGGACGTCTGATAAGCACCCAAACTATCCTCGTCACATCGTACCATGGCCCCTACGAGTGTTGGCTATTAGACTCCAGAGCATTGGATTCGGCGACTCACGTAGGGGCATTGGCGGACTCTACGAGGTTGGCTTGGAAGCGCGAAGGGAGATTTTACGGCCAGATATGGATCCCGAAGAGCGGAAGTTGTGGAGAGAGCGATTGTCTGACCTTGGCATGAGAAATGTGAACGCGCTCATTGAGATGGGGGACCTGGATGCCGCCAGGAGATCACTCGCCAGCTTGCGTATAGCAGAATCGGAAAGTGAGATCAATAAACTGAGAAAAGTACTTTTGATGCTCATAATTGGCGATCTTGATGCTGCGAGGCAGGTATGTGGCGAGGCGAGCGATGCCGGGAACACCGTGTTTCGCCCGCTTCTCAGTATGGCCGAGGGTCGGTACGACGGCGCAGTGACTGAATGGCGCGCCTTACTTGGCAACGAGGAACGCAGACCCGATGAGTCCATGATCTCGCAGAACCTGGCGGTGTGCTTGTTGTACACTGGTAGGTTGAACGAAGTAAGTCATATTCCACAAAGATTACCTACTACCAAGCCCGTGCTTAACCATGCCACAGGCACGTGAGGTCCTTGAGTCACTGGTGCACGCAAACCACTCGTTCTCGAGTCTCGTGTTCAACTTGTCAACCGTCTACGAACTATGCTCTGATAAATCCGCCAAGCTAAAGACCGACCTTGTAGAAACAGTGGCCAGACAACCAGTCACTGGTACTACTAATCTTGATCGGCCCAACGGAGACTTCAAACTTTAATGACAGCAAGAATCACGGAGAGTCTACACTTGATAGCAAGGAAGTCCCAGGTTCTAAGACTGGTGCGCTATTCTAAGAATACCTGTCGGATCCTCCTATTATATAGCCGTCTATACACCTTAAACAAACGCCATACTCCGTCAATGCCCGTATAAGCGCCAGACAACGATGCAGCAATGATCAAATCGACAACATCATGGATTCTCTTTTATAGGTGCAAGGTTATTTTGGGGCCTTTGCTTTGGCTTCCGGATGATGATTCTGTCGCCCTCTTTCTCCCAACCTAGGCTCTCCGCCTTTACCAGGTTCTCCCATGTCCAATTGCTGTCACCGGTGCAACCTTCAGTGACCCATCTGGTGTCAGTGCTGAGATAAGCTTTGCCGACTGCTTTGAGAGCATGTCGTCTGACGCGGTCTTCAGCCCAATTCATGACGGCGCGCATCCGGGAATCTACATCTTGCCGGATCTGCCAGAACACAATCCAGTTATCATGTGCCAGGGCGTTCAAGACACGGTCTATATTCGATGACTGAAAACCGTATCGTCTGCGCGCACGCGCACGAAGCTGATAAGCAGCAACCATGTCCTCCTGTCGACATGCGTAATCCAGGATCCAATACGAAATGAGATCTTTCAGGTCAGAGTCCGGCAAGGGGTGAGAAGAAGTGTGTAATTCCTCTAGGATGTAGCGAAAGGAAGGAAAATATGATGGAGGATGTCGGGCTTGAATCGCGAACTTGATGGAAAAGATGTGAACTTGCTGGGAGAAAGAGATGGGAATTGTGGAGCTGGTAGCCAGAACCGCCTCGCGCAGCTTGCGAAGAGAGAGGAGAATGGTTGATAGTTCAGTGGATGGGGAAGGACTACGGGGCCCTGTCGACTTATTGTTCAAGGAGGGAAGAGAAGCTGGTGGATTGCTGGTGGCATCGCTCGATGCGCTCCTGGGAAGTGACGTCCATGCCGCTTCTAGGTTTTTGGAATGGCGGGCGCAGAATTCCATGTACCGATTTACAATCTTGTCATAGTACTCCTTCTGAACCTTATGGTCTAGCAATCTGTGAGTGTCAGCGCTGCCGCAGTCAACCGCATCGTCGCTCCACCATGGGTATCAGGAGGCCGTGAGCATACTTTCGATCGCCTTTAGATACAAACCCCACGGTGTCGAGCGAGTCTGCCACGGGCTTTAACCGACTGCCTGGGGCTTTTCCGGGCTGCGCATGACCAGACATGGTATATATATAGTGTGTCGCAAAAGAAAAAAAACAGAGAGAGGGGTTATTGATATTGCGTCATGCTTGAATTGGAGGATGAAGCTATCCAAAGTGATGGACTGGTGAATTGATCTGCGGGGATCCCGTCGGGGAAGTGCCGGGCTGTTTGTCTCATTTGCACTGTTTGTCAACTTTCCCAACGAGCCAAAAGTCCCAAAAGGGAACGGCGATACTCCGCGGAATCCCCAACGCTATTCTTCAGGTTCCTCACCCATCACTTCGGGTTAAGGTGTTTTAGGGGGGTTGTTTTGCTTCTTTTTTGGCCCTTTAATCTGCTTTTCCGTGTACATATTTCTTTTTCTGCTCTTACTAGACGGTCATCTTACCTCATCCTCACGCGTATACTCCCCCGGAGGACCACCCCGATTACGGAGCAACCGCTAGCCATCTGCTCACCGGAGATCTGGGATCTGTCATTCTGTCTGCATCCTGCATGTGAGGAATATGTCCACTCGCCAGCGTCGCCCCACTCAAGCCCATGAGAAGGATCTGGGTACCAGCCAGCCTGCTGTGGTGGCAGCTGCGGTGTTGGAACAGCCTTCCCAAGTCATCAGAAAGCTTCTTCACTGGGACGATCTGCCCCATTGGCAGCGCGACAACCAGCACATCCACACGGGCTATCGGCCGGCTTCATTCTCTCTTCTGGTCTCCCTGCAGTCCTTGACCTACCTTCACAATGAAACGGTCAACATCTACACGCATCTGCTGCCGTCCCTACTGGCCGTTCCAGCGGCTGGGCTTCTCTATCGGGCACTAGCTCCGCGATATGAGAATGCCACCCAGGCGGATCTGATTGCTTTTGGATGCTTCTTCGCGGGGGCGGCCTTCTGTTTGGGCATGTCTGCAACATATCATACCATTTCGAACCATTCCCCCCTCGTGGCCCGCATCGGAAACACGTTTGACTATGTTGGTATCGTAGGGCTTATCGTGGGCAGCTTCGTGCCTAGCGTGTACTTTGGATTCTACTGTATGCCTGATCTGCAACGGTTGTATTGGACGATGATCTGCGCCCTCGGTCTTGGCTGCATCCTTGTTTCGATCTTCCCTCATTTCCGGACGCCTCGGTGGCGGCCATTCCGTGCGGCCATGTTTGTCGGCATGGGTCTGTCAGCGGTGTTCCCCGTGATCCACGGCTTACGCTTGTACGGTCTGGAGCAGATGACACGCCAAATCGGGCTCGGTTGGCTACTTCTCCAAGGTTTTCTGTACATTTTGGGAGCAACCATCTATGCAGCCCGGGTGCCGGAGCGCTTGCGACCAGGCCACTTCGATCTCTGGGGCAGCTCCCACCAGATCTTTCATGTGCTGGTGGTCTGCGCCGCCATTGCTCATCTGACCGGGTTGCTAAAGGCATTTGATTACAGACACAGCGGCATTGCAGACAGTTGTCTTGGGGCCGCGCAGTGATTCGCCCGCTGAACCTTGGGACATCGCACAGGCAGAACGTCCTGTGGAGGGGGGAGAAGGGGGGAGGGGGGCGCGCGGCGCCCCCTAAACATCACCACCTGTAGCCATAACTTAATCGCCTCAAGAAGTAATAGAGATGACATGATGATGATGCTGACGTCTTCACGGCTGATACGAGACATGTCTAACCTTGAATTTCACATGCTGACCATTGCAACATGGCAAAGCCAGAGATGAGAGAAGCATTGCAGAAACCTTCCTTCCCCCAGGAAGGCAATAAGAAAAGGGAAAGAGGAACAAAAAAATACGCAAACGAGGGGAAGTCCAGGATACAATCATAAGAATAGACCTTGGGTCTTGCGACAGCACGAACGTTCACCGCTTGCCTGGGCATTTCAAACCGGGCAGGCGAATAGGGATGCGTTCCCGCATCGATTTACAGCTCACATGGTGTGCTGGCCTGCATACCGATAGAATCACCCTAGACGGCATGCTGCGGTTCCTCATTGGATGCTACGTCAGACACAATAGTCTTGCATCGTCGTGGCTCCTTCGAGCACATTAGAGTTATTCGGCCTAGTGGCCCCCACTGAATTGACGACGATGTTGCACCTGAGCTTATTCTTCCAGGCTTCTTACGTTGGAGGACCGTCCCCGCGGCACTGGCTGATGTAGGCAGCCCCTATCAGAGGCAGTTGGGCCGGTAGCCAAGCAATCTGGCATTTGCCATTTCTGACAAGTAAGATGGAGGTCAGTTGGACTATTGCTGAAGAATCTGCCAGTTGGAGGACTGGACACGGCTCCCATGCGAGGTGGATCAGATGAAATCTTAGGGTTTCACAACGGCTGACTTCATCTGCGCTTGCCGTCGGTTCATGAATCCCGATACGAGCCCTGCATGCCAGGGCGGCTGGTATATATAAGATTGCGCTGGTTGATGTGCTGATGAAGAGTGGTTTGATCTTTCTCTTTTTCTTGGTTTTCCGGTGATATCGCCACACCCGTTTGCTTGAGGCTCCCCTTCTAGTCGACTTCACTGCATTACTCCTCTGATATCAACACGACCCTGCTTTACATTCTGTACCTACAATATAAATGCTGGCCGAATCCGAAACCCCCGTCAGCAACGGGGATCCGCCGAAGCTCCGGGCTGCCTGTGAGAATTGCCGACAGTCAAAGGTGAAATGTAACCTATCTGGGAAAGACACCTGCATTCGCTGTATGCGTCATGGGTTGCCCTGTCGATACCGCGTCGCCAATCGTTCTGGGAAGCCAAAAGGGAGCAAGAACCGTGCCACGCTGCGGAAACTTGGGCAGTTGCAAGACGAGAAGAAGCCTACAATACCTGCCAACGGATGGGCAGAATCAGTAGCCAAAGGACAACCGCCTCGTATCAGTTATGATGACAACGGTGTTGACGCAACGGTTCGTTCATCTTGTGCTCGTTAACAATCAACATTCTAACGGTTATAGAGTACGCAAAGCACCAGCCCAGCCAGTCAGTCCAGAAGCCCCGATAGCCACGGGGCGAATATGGCTGACACGACGTTGCTGACCGATCAGACCATGGAGTATCCATCAATAGGGGAGACGCTGGCCCCAATGTTCAATCCCTCCTTGTCGCCGCCATTCCTCCCGAAGGAGTTCATCTCCCGGGGCTTCACCGGCTGTCCGCTCGCCGTCCACATCCCCAACCCACTACAGCCCTGTGAATGCACCAACGCACTCTTATACAACGTAAACCAGATCCGGAGCATGCTGGCAGACAGCATGCGTCTACGACTGGACCAGATCCTACAAGGCATCAAGATCGCATTGACCGTGTGTCGGAACTTTCTCCGATGCCCCAATTGTCACAAAGACCACACAAACCTACTGTATTCAGTATCCATATTGGATACTACACTCCAGCTCTTCGAGTATTGGACCTCGTATGAGCTCTCACCCACGCCTGCTAGCGACCACAACATGATCCTCCCCTACGGCGAGTACGAGATGGGCCCGGATGAGACGCGCCGGATCCGCCGATACCTCATCCGAGGTCGAGCCCTGCAGTGCCGAGAGGTACTGGGGCTACTCAAGGACGCAGTCGGAATGAGCCGACATTTGAGTCCCGAGCTCCGAGAGCTCAATGGGACGGACGGACTAGAGGTGGAATGGTTCCAGCAGATGCTGGGGGGGTATGATACGATGGTGGAGGCGATTTTACGAGCGATGTCGGATAATCTGTGCACGTAGATTAAGCTTGAAACCTTCAATTACTTTATACATCGTTATGTAGTATGTGACCATTCGTAGGTGGATTGTATTCCCTGCTAAACATAGTAAGTAGTGAGTAGTCCAGGAACCAACCGAGCGGCATTCGGCAGACAAACTGAGCCTCGGCATATCCAACTCCGCATTTGTAGATCCTCTTATATCCATCCCCACCGCACCTCCAACTACTACCTACTTTCACTCAACTACACTCACAGAACCTAACCACACCCACCCAAGCCCAGCTCATCTCAACTAGAAATAAGTACAATGAACCGCCTCACCCAAATAACCTCGCACCTCAACTACCCCCACGGCCTACTAGCCAACCAAGTGGCCATCATCACCGGCGCCGGGCAAGGCATCGGGGCCGAAACCGCCCGGTTGTTCGCCAACGAGGGAGCGAAGGTGATTATAGCTGATATAGATGGAGGTATACCACCTTCCCCTGTTACAGAATTTGCCATTGGGGCAATGAGCACCGAAAGAAAAATGAGTGGAATAGTAAATATGCTGATACAGTTGGTAATGTACAGAAAAAGCCTCCGCCGTCGCATCCACCATCAACACAGCCCTTGGTGAAACTAAGGCATTAGCTGTCCCCGGCGATATCCTCAACGACACTTACATCGAAGACCTCGTCACCAAGGCCGCAGACTTTGGGGGTGGGAAAATACACATTATTGTGAATAATGCGGGGTTTACATGGGATGGGGTTATACATAAGGTAATTTCCAATTCCCTCTTTGTAGTATATATGTATATATATATATATATATATACTATATACTACTATACTAACGAAGTACTAATTAAATGGTGGGTATACTACTTAGATGACCAACACCCAATTCACCACCATGCTCAACATCCACGCCACAGCCCCATTCAAACTCATCCGCGCAGCAGCAAAATACTTCCGTGTGAAGGACGGTGAATCTCGCGTGGTGATTAATATTAGTAGTACGAGTGGGGTGCATGGCAATGCGTACGTTACTAGTACCTTTTCCCCCCTTCCCCATACCCCTTCTAACCCATTCACCTCTCTTCTATATATATACATTCATTCTAATACAAGTAATGGGTGATAAAATGTAGTGGCCAAGCCAACTACGCCGTCGCCAAAGCAGGCATAACGGGGCTAACGAAAACGATCGCGAAAGAATGGGGACCTGCGTTCGGAGTTCGCGCGAATACCATTGCCTTCGGGTTCGTGAAGACCCGGTTGACTGCGGCGAAGGAGGACGGGGCGTTCATTGCCATGGCCGATGGGACGAAGGTCGCGTTGGGGATTCCGGGGAAGCAGTTGGATAGTAGGCGGACTGGAACTGCTACTGATGAGAAGAAGAAGAAGGGAGGTAGTGATTATCCTGATATTCCGCTGGGACGGCCGGCTAGTCCGGAGGAGGCGGCGAGGGCGGTGTTGGGGGTAGCGAGTCCGTTGTTTTCGTATGTGAGTGGGGAGACGATAAGGGTTACGGGGGGGAGGAATATGTGATTTTTCTTTCAAGATCATTTATTTATTGGTATGTTGTTATGTGGATTTATTGATTGATTGGTCTATGAATGAAATGAGAAGTGGATGGTCATCTGAAGTATGTGTGTGGTGTAATGCGATATCAGAAGTCGCATTCATATAGTTCAGTTATGGTTTGGTAGATGGTATCTATCATACATGGTATCATATAGTACAAAGCCAATTGAATTCTTTTCGTTTGTCCGTAAATCATTGGTCCAAAATGTAAGGCTGCGAGAGAATCCGACCAGGCCCAGCCAGGTCACACTCAAAAAAAACCCCCATAGTATACTGCATATAGACAATGACTGGTCGAGACAAGCCTGCTCACCCGCCTGGTGGCTGCCTCCCCGTCGGACAGCTGGCCCCTCTCTTCAGGGGTAGTCGGGAGGGTCCAGACCAGACTCCAGAGTCATATTTTTTTCTCGCAATAGGCGCCGGCTGATGGTTGCATCAGCAAGCATTGACTGGTTGTGCTAGACTGCTACAGCATAGCAGGGAACAGACGGCGACTCGCCAGTGGACCACAGCTTCACGTCGTGGGTCTCACTGGAAGAGCGTGTCATCAGACCCAAGTCAGTTGTACCAGCAGAAGGGGAGAGAGATAGAGAGAGAAAAAGCATCGTCTAGTCCTCATCTATTGCAGATATCGTATCCAAGGATGTTCCACCCTGGTTCACGCGGTTGCACCGAAAACACATTCCAGCCTCTCACCACAGCCAGCCAGTCAGACTGAATATCAGCCTGGCGGCTTCCCCCTCATAGGGAGACAGTCCGAAATCAAAACTATTTATCGACAGATTATGTAAAATGAAGTAGTAGTAGTAGAGTAGTAGAAAAACGAAGAAGAAGAGTAGTCCTCAACGACTCAAGGTATCATCCCAAAAGAGCGACCAAGTGTGCCATCCAACTCCTAGCGGTAAAATTCGACAATCAAAATGCAAATGCTTCATCTCTGCTCCGGGGTATTTTTCTTTTCTTCTTTCCATGACAATGGCCGATGGTGAAAAACGCCAGCAACACCACCCAGTAACACCAAACACAAGTATATCACCAGAAACGCAAGAGATCCTCCCAATGTGGTGACAAATTAAAAATAACATAGCCACGGTTTCTGCCTTCCAACGGACTCGCAGGGCGAGCTGGCAGAACTCCGTTTCCTCAAAAGGGGCAATTTATGCCCGACGGCTGAGCTCCAGTGGATGTCAATCCGGGTATAATATCCAAACTCCAAGGAATGGAAGCCAACGGTGTAAAGAGTGGGAAATAGAAAAGGCGTATGTCCAGAAAGGAAATCGATCTCCTCGGATTCCCTCCGGCGAAAATAATACAATGTCGCTGGAATAATGCAAGGCGGAGATGATCCAAGAATAGGTGTAGTAAAGATCCAAATCCAGTGGGATGTAATATCGAAAGAATTGCCGTAAATCGTAAACCTGCGTTAAGTGGGCCTTTTTTCGGGTTTTTATTTTTATTTCTTTTCTTGCTTTCCCTTGTAGGGTGGACGGTGAGGTCCAGTTTAGCAAACGGGAATTGGAATGGTAAAAGGGGCATGGGCAAGATGCGGCTCCGGGATACCACCGCAAGAGACAGGGTCCATAAAGTCATCTTTGCATTCCAGTCCCGGCTCCAGGCCCACGGAAGACATCGACGAGACACTGTCAAGGTCGGGGTAGCCTTCCGTAAAGGATGAAGCATCCGAAACGGCAGACTCCGAAAAGTCGGAGTACTGCGATGACCCAGAGGAGACAGAGGAGGTTTGGGTGTTGAAGGTGTCCACGGGAACGGACACCGGAACCGGACCGTTGACGTAGTCAACCGGCACCGGTCCGCTGGCAGACCAGGGGACGATGGGGTTCATGGTAAACTGCGGGCACTCCAGGATCAACTGGCGAAGCTCCGGGATGGTAATCCTCTTGGAGGGGTCGCACTCAAAGATGCGGTTCAGGATGCAGATCATGTCATCCGACAGTGGCAGGATGGATTTCAGGAAGTAAGGATCCTTGAGATAAGCTCGGAACGTGGAGTCCTCGATCGAGGCACGTTTCCAGGGGTTGCGACCGCAGGTCAAGTTGACGAGGATAACACCTAGACTCCACACATCATTGGGTGCCGACTCATAGCACGACATGGGACGGGGGTTTGGTTGCTGGCATTCTTTGGTATCATCTTCGTCAGTGAATGTTTCATCGGAATGTGGGGTGGGGGGAAGGGAAGGGCATTCACGCACCTGGTGACATGTAGAAAGTGGATCCGCAACCAAAATCCGACGTCAGGTAGTCCGTAGTAGCCAGGCCAAAGTCAGCAAGCTTGACCGTCAAGCCCTGGTCCGTTACCAAGATGTTTTCCGGCTTGAGGTCCCGATGGTAGATTCCCAAGGAGTGGCAGAACTGGACGGCATCCAGGATTTGAAGGAAGACACGCTTGACCAAGGGGTCATTGCCCACGAAGTTGCCCTTTTCAGTAATACTGGAGAAGAGATCGCCCTCGGGACAGAACTCAATCACCACGTAGGTGCAATCGACGGAATCCATAATGCGAACCAGGGAAACCACATTGGGATGTTGGCTGGCCAGATGGTGGAGCTTGATTTCCCGCTGCTGGAACTTGAGCTGCCGGGGATCCAGCCCGGTCTTGTTGAGGGCCTTGACAGCATACAGAACATTGGTATGAATGTCGACGGCCGTGTACACCACTCCATAGGCACCGACGCCCAGAATGCTGGTGAGTTCCAGACGGTTGGCCAAGAGAAATCCTAGACGGTCTTCCGGAGCATAGCAACGGGAGATGGGCGGAGAAGGAGGCGGAGTGGGGGGCATGGGGGGATACATGCCGTACAGGGGAGAAGGGGGTAGCATGAGCATGAGGAAAGGTAGGTTTGGGGATGGGCTTTTTCTTGCTTTGGTAGATTGGTGACAGGCAAGTAAGACTCGAAGCACGCACCGGCACTTGAGTCTTTTCCCTGAAGAAGAGTATAGTATTGGAAGGGAGGGGGGAAGGAGAGGGAAGGAGGGGGAGGTAAATGGTAGTTTCTTGTCTCAACGGCTGTAAGGGGTGGTTTGTTGATATAAATCCTGGGGGTCCAAAATCCGGTGGCGGGTTTCAGGTAGTCATCCAAACCAGTGAGCAAAGTACGGGATAGCCGGGAGTGAGAGAGAAGAGCACCAAAGGAGAGTCGCCAGTCTTTCCTTAATAGACAATTTTTTTTTCACTTGTTCAAGGAGCCATTGAAGGAATGCAGTTGATCAACTTGGATAAGCAATCAAATCCTAGGGAATGTCCAACGGAAGGCCGTGGGTAGGATGGTGGTGGTAGTAGTTGTAGTGGTTGAAGATGAGTAGTAGCGGAAGTGGCAGTGGCAGTTGGTGGTGATATTATTTTTGGCTTATTGGGGGAGAGGGGGGCAAGTAGTCCAGGGAAGTTGCACAGCCAGGGATGGATGCAGTTCCAGGGAAGCAGTCAGATGGGGGCCAGCGGATAGTTAATATGGCCGTGGGGG